AGTCACGTGAAACTTCTTCGCCTGCCCCTCGGATTTGGTGCAGGTCAAAGTTTTGTGAGTACTGTCTACCATTAGGCACTACCTTGTTCTTGAAGCCACCTTGGTCATTATAGCCGTTCCTTGAGGAGGAGAGCGCACTTCGCTCAGGGCCAGAAGGCACCACTCTCCATTTATCATTCCTTGATTTAGACGCGTCGAAGAAGCGATTCAGTTAAACTTGTTGCAAACTCATACAGGGAAATCCGGCAGGGAAAGACGGGACTCCACAGCGCCATCTGATGTCGCAGTGTTATATCGCATATACAACGCATATAAAACGATTTTTCTTTACCAATCTAGCTGAGGACTTGCAGAGCTTGGCTGCGCAGTTGGCTAAACTTTAGAGCTGAGCCGACCAATTAAAACAAAACAAAAAAACCCTCATAGCAAACCCTTAGACCGGCCATCCTCAGCCTGGTGCTCCGGCCAGATGTTGTTGAACTATAGTTTCCATCATCCCTACCTATTGGATCTGTTGCCGGGGGTTGGTGGCAATTGTAGAACAAAACATCTGGAGGGCTTTGGGGACAGTTGCCTTAGTCTGCAGCCACCCGCTCCTGCATACCTACTTGGAAGTAAGGCCCCTTTTATTCCAATGAGACTAACCAAATATGCAGAAGTTCGCACCTGAGCTAAAGGGGGTGGTGCCCACGCACGTCACCACGTAAAATAAATAAATAAATCAAAAGTTGTCTCCATGTTGTAGACTAGGATTAAGGGCGAGTCCTGGATCTGAAAACAGTAAGTGCTGGGTTCTTTATTTATTTACTACTAGTAGTAGCTATCTAATCCTTGGAACTCAAAGCGTTGCAAAAACAAATCTAAAATCAAACACGGAATGATCAGAAAACTCGTAACCGTGATTAAAAAAAAGATTAAAAAATAAAAACCAGAAAATTAACAAGGGCAAGGGCAGGATGGGATTGTGCCACTGAGCCGAGTTTTCTAAATCGGCGGAGTCACTGCTGCTCGTGGGAGTGGTAACTATTCCTGCGTCAGCCTAGTGAACCTGAATTCCCAACGGATTTCGAAATGGAGAGAAAATTAACAAATGCTTTTCGGGGCGTGGGGGGTGGGGGCAAAGCAGCCACTCCGGATTCACTGCTGCGGATGGCGTCCGTATCCCAATGGCGCCTTTTGCAAAAGCCTGGCGGCGGAGAAAACGCGCTCGCCCGCGGCGCCGGGCACCCTCCTTCCCTCGCGCGGAGCATCTCCGCGTCCCTCCCGAGGCTGCCGCCCGAGGTGCTCCTTAGAACCTTGCTCTGGGCTGCCATAGGCCGGCGCGGGGCGCATGCGCGCCTCTCTCCGAGGGCTCCCTCTCGCCCGCTCTCTGCGCCTCCCCTCCCCTCCCGTTCTCTTCCCCCTTCGGACGCCGCCGCCGCCGCCGCCGCAACTTTTCTTGCACTTCGGAGGAGCGGCGAGGGCAGAAGCGCGCCAGACGCCGGAGGGAAGGCGAGCGCCGGGAGCGACTCTGCGCCGCGCGGCGGAGCATGTAGTCGCGGGGAGAAGGAAGGAAGGAAGTCGGTCGAGGGGAAGAGGCACCTTCGCGCCACCGCGGGCCATGAATTGGGGCAGCCGCCGCCGCCTCCCGCTTTGAAGCCCGGAGGAGCTCGCCTTGCGCCCCCCCCCACGCCGCCCCCCGTCTTGACTGGCTTGCAATGGAGGGACGCAGCCTGGGCACGGCTCGACAGCCCCGGGCGCCCCGTGGCAGCGGGTAGGCAGCAGGCGAGCGCCGGAGGGAGCCTGCATGCGCGCTCCGGAGGCACCCAGCCCGCTGCTGCAGCACCACCAGCACCACTACCTGGGCCGGTCTGAGCCCCAGAGCCGAGCGAGGAGCTGCCAGCCTGGTCCCGTCCCCTCGCGACCGCGGTCCCGTCCCCTCGCGACCGCGGATGGACCTTGCGAAGGAGGCGCCTCTGCTCCGTCGCTGGAGCGGCCCGGCCCGGCCCGGCGGAGATCCCTTGCCAGCCGCTGCCTTTCTCTGCCTCGGAGCGTACGGCGACGATTTGGGCTTCGCACCGCCTCGCTTGTGGATTACTTGGCTGCTAAGCTAGACTCGCTTTGGCGGGTCTCTCTCTTCTCCACCCCCCCATCCATCTTCGCCGCTTTCTCCCACCCGCAACAACAATGGAGGTGAGTAACACAACTTAGGAATGGGAAAGCGGGGCGGGGGCTCGAAATCCGCTGGGCTGCGAGAAGGAGGGGAGCGGGGTCCGAAGCGAAGGCTGGATTTGCTCCAAATTTGCGATCGGGGGGAAATCGTCGAAAGAGAGCGAGCGAGCGCGCGCTTGAAAATTAGCTCCTTGGAGAGGGAGGGCGCGAGAAGGAGGCTGTGGCTTCGGATTTCTTACAAATATTTGGCTTAAGGTGAAACTGACGAGGGAGAAAGAATGAGAACATAGGCTTCCCTCTCTCTCTTCACCGCGTTCATTCAGGAGCCCCTCTTTGCGCGCGCTCCCCCGCCGGTCAGAACTTTTCAGTCTCGTAACAAACCTGTTGCTGGAAAATGCTCCGATTCTGCCCCACCCTTCCCATAATGTCCCCCCCTCCCCTTGTCTTAGTATTGTTGATTTCCTTGGAAAGCCCTTATCTGTTCTTTTAAGAACTTATTCCCAGCGCCTAAAGCTTCTCAGTCTAACCCACCCCCGGGCCATCCGCCACCTCCAAGGCGGATCAAGGTTTATAGGACATCTCTTGCAGCTTTCTTCCGTGCGGACTTCTGTTGAAGAACCCGGGCATGGCAGACATGGAGGCCTGTACCTTTAAGAGAACTTGGCTCGTGGCCAGGGAAAAACCTGGCCGCTTTTCTTCTCCTCCTCCTCCTCAGTCCCTCAAATTTTGCTCTCTGTTTCTGCATATTGTCACTTTTGCATCTGTAAAGCGTTCCGCTTGTGTTGGAAGGGGAGGACGGAAGGGGCTTTGCTTTGTCCCCCCTCCTTGCTCCCCCCTCCAAGCCTCGCTGTCCCTTTGATGCTCCACATTGAGGAGGTTGTGTGTGTTTGTTTTTAATTGTCAATTGTATGCTAAATTAGTTACAGTCGCGAGGTCACCGGGAGTTCAGTTTCACCCAGAAACTAATCTTTTTGAGGGATGGCGGGGCGGGGGGCGGAGGAGAGAGATCCAGGGAGATCTTGAACGAAAGTCCCGGGATATCATTTAATATGGAAGAACAGGGGTGCGAGGAGAAAAGGCAACCTTTTCCCTCCCCTCTTCCACCTCCCGGAGTTTTAGTATATGAGTAGCTTTCCTTGTTTAAAAACTGCAGCCCATAAAACCTTGGAATGCTTCGCCCGCTTTTCTTAGACAGCCCCCCTTCTTTTCCCAAGCCCCCTCCCCTCCAGGGCAAGGTGGTGTGGTGGGCTCGCTCTTGGCCCTGCAAAGCCGTCCAGCCGGCCCGCCTCGGCAATTGTTCCTGCGTTTTACAACCCACCCGAGCCCAGGGGGCTCGCAGTCTGCATGCCTACTTACCCAAGGTAGAGCTAGCATTAAAACAGCGGCCATAAAACCAGATGCCCTAACAGGCTTTCCAGACCTCCTGTGCTCTTTTTTTCTTTTTTAATTGGGGGGGGGGGGAGAGAGAGAGAGACAAGCAACTTAGGATCGCAGGCGGGCGAGCCCTTCTGGCTGCTCTTGGGGAGGGATGATCTGCACCCCCGAAAAAGAAAACGTTTTAAAATAGCTAATTTCCCCCACAAAAAGCAATGGTCTGCTCTGTCCGGGGGCTGCCTTCGAACGCGAAGTTTAAATGGCCCGGTCCTAATGGACTCTTCGGCGGCTTGTTTCCAGTGTGCGCCGGACATTTCAAAAAACGGTTCCGGGAGACTTGGTGGCGCTGCACAACCACCGGGCCTTTCTTTTTGGCGCCCTCCGAAGGGGGTCTCCGCCTCCGAGCTCTTTCTCCGTTCTGGATCAGGCTGAACGGAATAACCCCAAGAAATGGTGAAGTATTACTTCTAACAAAAAGAGAGGGCGAAACGCGGAGAGAGGCACCATCCCTCTTTCCCTGGCCCCCCAGTGTAGCGTCCCGGGGCTTCGTTTGACGGCTGAGGCTGCCCTCTATTGGGGGCGGCGGAGAACGGCTTCCGCGTCAAACTAGGCTCTCTCGCCTTTAAAACAAAGCCGGCACCGCCATAAACCAGGTTTTAAATATTAGATCTATAGCTGGATTTGTGCGCAGAAGATCGCTCAGATGCAGCTATACTTGCCGAGCCTAATATTTCGACTCTGCGCGCGCAGAGTTTGAATGGAAACTCCTCCCGAAGAATCTCCTTGCGGCCCCGGATTCCCAAGTCAAGGCCTGCGGGTGTCACGATCACAGCCGAAACTGGGTTTGTGTGGCAGAGATGGGTTTTCTCATTCGGATTTACTGTATATATTTTCTTTAAGTCCTCATCTGTGGATGACTTTTGGAGAGTCTGTCCTGCTATCCCGCGCGTCCACACCCCCTTGGCAATCCCCCTAGGACCGCGCGTCCTTGGACACCCCCCCCGCCCGCCTTGACTCCGCCAGCATCTTTGCGTGAGGCGTTCCCTTGCGACGGACAGGCTTGCATCTCCGGCGGCGCGCTGCCCTCGTCGGGAAGAGAGTGGTAGAGCTCCGAGGCTGGGACCGCGAAGTTGCCGCCTTGTTCGCACAGCGCTTTGAGAGAGGCGCAAGGCGCCCGGCGGGCGGTGCCGACGTAGTCCATCGCTCATTCAACAGTCCCATAAGACAGGCGGAAAAACCGAGGGGATCGGGCCACACAGGGAGCCAGTGGCAAAAAGGCGGGGCGGGGGGCGCTGAACCTCTTATGTGCACATCGGCCGAAACACACACATTGGCTTCTCTCTATAGCTGGGGATTTATTCCCTTCTGCTATTTGCACACGCACATGAGCTTCGCATCCCCCCGACGGCTGCGGGGGCTTTCTGTTCCTCTCCAGCCTCGCCTTCTCTTCTCCCTCCCCGTCCCCAATTTGCTGGAGCGTGGCCGGCTTTATGGGGCATGAACTCTCCACATTCCTTCAAGGCGCTTCAGACTGCCGGGGAAATAAATCGGGCGCCGTCAGCGGCCCGTCACTAGACGCGCACCCCCCTCCGGCCTGTTCCCCCAAATTCCTGCAGCCTTGTGTCATGCTCTGCTCGGGGAGGAAGGCCGCTCCGCGGGGCTACGTTGGCCCTTGGCTTTCTCCCGAGGTAGGAGCTCCTTGGTTGATAAGGTGATTTATATATCTGTAGTAAGGGGAATCGGGCTGTGGGTGGACGAGGTCCTCTGGACGCAGCAAAGTTCGGGCCTGCCTCCGCGCGAGACGGCAAGCGCGGGGACCCCGCGATAGGCCGGGCAGGGCCAAGTTTCCTCGCTCGGGCCCTTCCGGCGCCAGAGCCGCCTTCCTCGTGACGCGATCGCCTGGCTCTAAGGCGCAAGGGAGCCCACCGGTGTCAACGCACCGGCCTTGGAGCCTGGGGGAGACGCTCCGCCACCGGCGAGCCTCCGAAAAGCCCCCTTGTTTCCGCGATCCGGTGTACTCTACAAGGCCCTTCTTGGAACCCAGCCCACTGAAGCGAGAGGCGCCCACAGCTCTCCGCACCGATATCCGTCGATCCCGCGCGCGAAGCGCTCTGACCATTATTAAACCCCCTGGAATAACGGCGTCCGACGTACTAAGGCAAGACCGGCGTTAGAGGGGAACGGCGACGCGGTCTGGACGGGTTTGTCAATCGGATTAGGTGGAACGCGCCTACTTGAAAGGCCAAACTAGCGCGTGAGTCTGGAGTGGAGACCAAGTAGCTTCTCTTCGCTTGCATTATTAGGGCGTCATCTATCCCTTATCGGATTCTTGTAATCGGGCCAATAAAAATCCAGCCATGGGAGCCTTATGCGCGCGTTATTTACTTGGGAGTAAACTCCACCGAAGCCGCCGGGGCTTCATTTCTCTATTGTTATAAGCTTGGACGGCTACTGCTTTTCTGGATCGAGCTGCCCCTCGCTCTACGTTTCTGTTTACACCGACTTGAATGGCACACTTCACGCGGATAGAGTCCTTTATATCTTGCGTGCAAAAGTCCCGGTTGCTGTCCAAAGTGGCGCTTGGAGCGCTGAGGGCCACAGATCTACACCCCACCCGCCGCATTTTTTGCTCTTGTGACACTCACTCTCGAGTAGCCCCGTTCAGTTCACACACCCACAAACTAGGATCGGTTGGCTCCAGAGGACGATTTCCAGGTGCGACATTCCAGACTCTGGAATGCCTCACGTAACATTAAACGGGCGGGGCGGGAGTCGGGACAGGTTACCAGAGTGCGGCCGCCAGATAGAACTTCGGGCTGCAAATTCTTCTCCATAGTCCTATTTAAAGCAAGAACAAGGGTTTGCTCCCAGTTCATCAAAGGGAGCAATGAATCTTCTTCCCCTGTGAAAAAGAGCTGGTTTCCTTTGACTCCATTTGCCCGGATAATTGGAAAGGGAACAAGCAGCCCCCTATCGCCATTTGGCAGTACACGGAAGGGTTTCCTATACCCTTTCGCCTTCGTTCCCCCACTGCAACCAGAAATCGGCTGCGCGGAGGAGGGGGTGGGAAGAGAGGAGTCGAACTAGGGGGGGCTAACTCGACCCAGGTCCCTGCCCGAGGCTGGAGGAGCTTCCAAGATTCCCGTCTCGCCCGCCGTGCGCTTCCAACTGGATGGTCCCAGGGGCCCAGGTCACTGTCCTCTTATTGCCCCCTCGCCCAGAAGAGAGAGCTCTGCGCTCATCGGCTGCTTCAAACTGCCGCGCGCTTCGGCGGACGCGTTTCACCGCCGCGCGCCTTTGCGCCTTGTTGCCCCTCCCTCCATACGGCTCTGTCTTAATTTATCCAGATAGCACAGTGAGGAGTGGGATGTGGGGGTGGGGTGGGGATGGCACTGTCCGTCTCTGCGGGGTTTTGGTTTGTGTCAGAGCCCTAGGTCTTGCTGTCTGTGATGGGGGGGAGGAGGTGGGACGGGATGAGACGGGGGATTTTATGCGCGGACGTTGGGGAGGAGCGATGGCCGGCGGCGAAAAACGTGCTTTGCAAACACCTTCCTGAGCAAGATCCGTTTTGACGATTCTCGTCTGGAAGCGGCTCCTATAATTAAAAAGGAGGAGGCGCGCGTCGTTCTAATCCGAAGCCGAGCGCCACGGCTGGGACGTGGGTGCTGTTGTCCTCCCCGTCGACTGACCGTCGCTCTCCACTTGTTGCGCGCTCCGCGTCTGAGCAGCAAAGCGCGGAAGGGGCTGGCAACGGCCTTCTTTTTCTTTCCGGAGGCGGATGGTGTGTGTGTATGTATGTATTTGTGTGTGTCCATAAAACTGTGGGCTGGGCGCCGCTGCTACTCAGCTTTTTCCTCCTCGTTATCGAGACTGCTTTGGGATTCACTCAAAAGCCGAGCCTTCGCGGCGAGGCGGGTGAATGAACTTGGAGCAGACACTGGCTTGGCCACCGCACAAGTCCCTGGCTGAGGCGCAGAAGGACCGCCGCCTCTCCCAGACCCCGGGGGGCTGCGCTTTGTTCCCTCGTGAGATGGTCCGGTCCAGGCCATAAAAGCTTCTCGCTCTCTTCTTCCCTCCCCTGCAGAAGTCCATGGGAACCTTAGTCCAAGGTGGAGCTCTGTGGACAGAGGCAATGACTTCTAAGTACCTCTTTCTGAGTCTGGCCATCTTCTCTTCACTTATCCAAGTTGTGATAGAAGCCAGCTCTTGGTGGTAAGCTTTTTAATATTTTCATCATCTGTACAAATTAATTAATCCCCCTCCCTTTTAAAAAAACAAGGCCATCCAATAAGGTGGAGGAGGCCTACTTTGCTCCTGGGAAAATAAAAACTATGAACACCCTGAATCCATTTTTCCTATTCTTTTAGGAGGGGTGGAGGGGAAAGGATAGGCAGTCTGCATTTATGTAGTCATTCAAATCCTGGTTTGGAATAAGTAGTATTCTAGAAACTAAATTAAATGTAAAATTGTAACTGGGAATGTCCTCCTGGCTTTCTAGACACATCTGTGCAAAAGTGAGCCGCATATTTTTGAGTCCTGTGTGTTTAGGGTCTTGCTGGTTTCAGCTCAAAAGAATTGTGCAAATGAGGCTGTGAAACCCTAGGCACACTTACTGGGGAGTAAGCTCCATTTTTCTGAATAGAATTTGCTTCTGAGTAAATATTCACGCAGAGAGCTGAGATTAAATTTATCCCTTTGAAAACAGGCACACATGTTGAGGTCTTTAAGACATTGGGTGAATAAGGCGTTTGGTGACAGGATTCACTTGTGTGCCAATTCTTGATTGTGAATTTTTAAATGATGGCATGAGGGGGGGGAGGGCCTCGAAATCCCATTTAATTTATCTGGCCTGCATTACATCCTTTATGGATCACGAGACCGAACTTTTGGATGGTAACAATTCTCTTGCTACAGAAGATTCTCTAGTGTCTGATAGTTATTTTTCTTTTTAAAAAAGATTGACATGGCATGTTAGAGAATGAAGCATGTTCTGGGAGCATCTTGGATTTTGTTTCCAGGTTTGAAAAAAGAAAAAAAAATCCATAGGGATGGATAGTGTGAAATATGAAGCCTAGGAGGGGAGACAGCCTAAGAGGGGGGCAACCATCATATTTAGATAGCTGCATAATTCAGTGTCTGTCTCAATAAATTCATGCATGTGGTTTACTTTAGCTTTCCAACGATTGAATGAAGCTGAAGACACACACACCCGGCACCTTTCCCACATTTTGGCCGCCGTCCCCAGCAGACCAAATGGAACAAGCAAATTTGTTTCAGGGCTGGGTTCCATGTCTGCGGAATCCACGCAGCATGTGCATTCAGCTGTTGTTCTTGAGCTTATTGCTGCAACCCTTTGTCTTTTCACAGGTCTCTGGGTATGAACCACATGAACCCCATGAACCCCGTTCAGATGCCGGAGGTGTACATCATTGGAGCCCAGCCCCTTTGCAGCCAACTGGCCGGGCTCTCCCAAGGACAAAAGAAACTCTGCCACTTGTACCAGGACCACATGCAGTACATCGGAGAGGGTGCCAAGACGGGGATCAAGGAATGCCAGTATCAGTTCCGCCACAGAAGATGGAATTGTAGCACTGTGGATAACAACTCTGTTTTTGGCAGAGTCATGCAGATAGGTAGGAAGGGCCTGGGAGTTGTGTGTGCTGGATATACATCATGGTGTGTGTGCTAGGAAAACCTGCCAGGTTCTTTATGCGCCATTGAAACCTGTCAAGAAGGAGAAAGCTAAATGGCCTTTAGCCCAGAGATCCTTCCTGTGAAGCTAGAAGCACATGGGGACCACTGGTGGTATGGAACAGGAAGAGTAGCATTGCCATTCTCACCTTGTCCTGATGCAGATTAAAATTAAGCCAGATCTAAATTTAAAGGAGGAAGCATGAAAACAAGTCGTTTTCAGCCAGAACAGGGTCATTTCTATGTCTGGGATTCCAAAGCTGTGTGACAATTGAATTTGACTCCAGATTAACCACACGCCAGCTTTTTGTCATGCCATAATTTTTATGTTGAGTCCATTTCCCCTTCACAGCCCAATTCTGTGTGTGTTTGGAAGCAAGCCCCCAAAGTGCTCAATGGGGCGTACTCCCTAGTTAAGTGTGCTTTAAGACTGCAGCCTTCTCCCCCCCGCCCAGCAAAATAATTTTTGTTTCAAGGGGATTTCAATTTAGAAATTAAATATGTTGGCACTCGCAGTCAATGTGCTTTCATTGAGGCTAAGAACATAGGTAGGTGTTGCATGCGTTTAACCATAATTATTATGGTTAATTAAAAATGCTGTCTTGGAGCAATCTCCCAATCCCTGTATGCTGAGAGTGTAGCTTCTGTTAGTTGCTTTTGACAGGGCCCTTCTGCTGTAGAGCTCACATCAGCATAAATACTGCCCCTGCTTAAATTACAAGGGTTAAAAGGCAGCATCACTCTAATGACTGATGGGTTGCTCCCCCTCCCCAACTAAAATAATGGCATTTGTAGTATACATTCAAATCTATACATCTCTCTCCATGTCCCCTCCCCAGCCTCAAACGCACAACTTGTGTATACCAGCATCTCAGAATGCAGAGATCTAAATCTAATTTTAAATCCCGCTTTTTGAAATAGGATAGGGAAGGATTGGAATGACTTTAAAATTAGATTAAAGGTAACTTCATTTATGCATTGAGTAGGCTTCTGCATTGCTTGCAGGGATGCTGTTAAGTCACATTTACCCTAGAAGTTAATTTTATGTAAAAATAAGCTTTACAAAATCTCAGATTAAACATTTTCCATGCCTCCCCCCCTCCAAAAAAAGGAACTAAGTGGAAACACTTGTTTATTGAAGACTTAAGTTTTCTCCTGCAGCTTTGCATTACAGATGCTGTAGAACTGAGAAGTTTAGAATAACTGGTCAGATTATCACTGCCCCATACCGAAAAACAAATAAAAACAGTACAGCAAAAGCCTGAAAGTACTGAAACCTTAAGCGTTTGTATACCTGGTCAGGTATGTTCCAGCCTTGAAGACTCATGTTTAAGTTGCCATGGTCTCTTTTTGCAGACTTTGCATCTACAAGTCCTGGAATGGGTCCCCATTGCTTCCAGGTCTCTGTTTCTTCTCCACAAGACATCTGCATGTATTTATTTTTATTTAGTAGGGTAATTGGCCACTTAGATTAACTGAAAATAGAAGTGAGTGTAATGTGTGCATTGAGCTGTTAAAGATCCTGAAAAGTGTATTCATTGAGAACAAGTATGTGCTCTCATTGCATAGTTGGGTCTAGTTTCCTCGAATAAACTATTGGATTGGTTGCTGTTTCTCTTGAATGGGGGACAAGATCTCAGCTTCGGTGCCCTGCTTCTTGCATAGACATGGCTCAGCCTTACAGGGCTATAAATCCACTTACAGTGTGCAGTTAGGACAAAAGATTGTGCCAGTTTGGGCTCTCTGCCTGGATCTGTATGTTTCTCTATGATGTCTTTGCTGATTGACCTGAAAGAATTATGAGCTGATAGTGGTTTGATGTAGCACACTAAAAATCCTGGAAGTTTATATAACATTTCAGACTGCTGTTGGACCAAATTTAAGTCAATAGCAAAACTCTAGCTAAGTTCAATATATCCTGCAATATGTTCAGATTGCAAATGAGCCATCACTATGGTACCGAAACGTTGACTTGCTCTCTGTGTAACTGCTCCCAAGGGTTGATCATCTAAACCTGATTTGCAAAAGCCTTGCCATTCACTTCAGTGTGATGTGAATCAGATCACCACAATATTGTTGGCTCAAATAAAACGTGCTGTTTCCTTGTTTCTGAAAGAGCCTGGAAAATTGGTTGCATAATATTGGGGAAATGTCTCTGTGTTGTTGTTGTTGTTGTTGTTTTTCTCTCTGGAAGGAGAAACTGCAGCAAATTCAATTAATAACTTTTTAAAAAAATGTCTATGACTAGACATTTTACTGCACTGGCAATAATAGTGGAATCGCAGCTTAAAGTTGAGAATGCTGTTCAAAGGAAATATAGCTTTGCGCCTTATCATATGTTTGTATAAGTTCTTGCAGCTTGATGCAAAAAAACCAAAACCCAAACCCCAAGGCAGTGTCCTCCCATGCTCAGTTGGGCAGCTTAAATCCCATTGACGGCAATGGCATTTCAACCATCAAACTGAGCCGGATTACAGCCTAAATTCCCTTTCAAGATGTGTAAGCGAATCACTTGTTTTCTCTGCAGCCCCTTTCTGTCAAAATAGTATAAAAGTAGGGAGGGCTTTTTTTCTTTTTCTTCTTTTTTTTGAAATAGACATCAGCAATTTACATGGGAGAATGCAATAAAGCTTTAGATAATAATAATAAAGGAATTGTGTTCGTGCCTAGCAGAGAGCGAGGAGTTTCTAAACAAACCAGCCCTCTGCTGGCAACAAGACTTCGAATACTGTCAAAGTTGATGAGACTTGCTTTAAACAGGCTCCTACCGTCTGAAGCTGAAGCCTACAGAAAACAGTTTCATGGCACAGGGCTGCTTGCTCAAACTGCTCCCCCCTCCCCTGCAAATTTCTTCCATCTGTTTTCTTTCTCTCTTCGGCGTATTTCAATCTCTACCTTTTTGCCCCTGTCCAGACTTGAAAGGGTTCTTTTAAAGACATGCTTGTGGAGAAGAACCTAGACGTGGCATATCCCCCAAAATGATAGTGAGATGAGAGCTATCTCTGTGGAAGTGGACCAATTAGGCAAAACTCCTATGAGCTTTGCTGTGAATGACACTAGAATAAATACTACAGGGTGCTTTCAGTGTTCTGCTGTGTCTGTTAAAATCGAGTCCAGCTGATAAAATGCGACCAAGAATTGGTAGACCTATGTAGTAGTACAAAGTTCTCCAAAAGCAGGAAGGTGCCCTCAAACAGATAATGCCTCAGTTACAATGGTGGGTGCTTTGGTGTGTGCCTTCATCAGTCTGTTCCGTTTGTTTAAAAAGTTTGATTTTCCAGTGATTCCTAACTTCCTCAAATAGAAAAAAATATATATCTCTGCAAAAGTGCCTACATAGCTAAAGGCTCCACTGAAGAATGGGCTCTTTGAAATTTGGGTCCCATTCTCTGAGCTAGTGAAGTTCTTGAAATTGTTTTTGTGTAAAACAACATCAAACCCCCAAGCCTCTGGTTTCTTAGAAACATTAGCAGCACACAAGGCAGAGCTTTAACACAGCTTTAACCTTTTTGGAGCTGTTACTGTGAGGACAGTGTGTGTTGCAAAGTATTTGCTGGGCATTAAATAACAGGGAGAGGGTAGCATTTTACCTTTTGTAGAGACCCTTAGCTACTCTTTGGAAAGACTACAGAGAGCATGGTCTGGCTAAAATTGGGAGGAACTGAAAGATGTGGCTTGTGGGTTTCATCAAGCTTCTACGAAGTGAGATATTTATAAATGAATTCTTTTCGGGGGGAAATTGGATTCAGGTAATATACCAACTAATGAATTTCCCCTCAGGATAACTAGTAATTAGCCGATTTGAGTGGAGCTTTCCATCACAGAAAACTCTCTCATGCTGCAATCCTGTGCACATTTACTAGGGATAAAGTCCCATTTAACCAAATGGGACAAGCTCTGAACTTCAAGCCTTTAAACTTTGGCAATGAAGAAGAAACAGCCTAAGAAGGCTTCTGACATTTTTTCTTTTACTTTACCAGAGCTGATGGCCAGACCTCAGGCTTCTCCAATATGTTTCCTTCTTTGTAGATCAATGAATAGATAATTCAAGATGCCTGAATTTCTTTCTAACCAGCATAGCAGACTCTAGGATTTTTATGCCACTATCCTGATATCTAATACCATCAGCCACAGCTGGAACACTTCATTCGTGTGCTGTTGTTTCTCTTTTCAAATGAGCATCCGTCACGTCGGGAGTGGGGGAAGCTCAGAACTGAATGGCAGTTCATCTTCACCTGTATTAAATAAAATCAATGTATGTGATCCTGGTGTGTAACTCCGAGCCTCCTCTTCTTCCTTGCAGGCAGCCGGGAGACAGCCTTCACGTACGCAGTCAGTGCTGCCGGTGTGGTCAATGCCATGAGCCGGGCCTGCCGGGAGGGGGAGCTCTCTTCCTGTGGCTGCAGCCGGGCTGCCAGGCCGAAAGATTTACCTCGGGACTGGCTGTGGGGTGGCTGTGGGGACAACATTGACTATGGCTACCGCTTTGCCAAAGAGTTTGTGGATGCCCGCGAGCGAGAGAGGATCTACCAGAGAGGAACTTACGAAAGCGCCAGGATCTTGATGAATCTGCATAACAACGAAGCAGGGAGGAGAGTAAGTCTCACCCCCCCAAACTGCCGCCCCTCCCCCCAAAATAATGTTTGCTCTTGCCTTTTCTCACCGTGATGCCAAACCGTTCGCGTTCCCAAGGCCTGTTTCAAATCCGTAGCAATACCTGTTCCCAAACCTCTGTGTGTGGTGGGTTTTTTTTGGTGAAGAGCAATTTTCTTTTGAATGAATTTGAATGATGGGTGATTTCTGGAATATGTCTTGTTTAAATAAGAGAGATCCGTTATTTCCCTTTAGATCAGGAGGGGGAAAGGTTCCATTTAAATGCAACGAGTGAGAGTGGGAGAAGGAAGCCTATCAGTAACTACTAGCTAGAATGGCTGTGCTCTGCCGCCACAGTTGTGCTCGAATCCTCCTTGCTTATTTCCCCACAGGCTTCCGGTTGGCCACTGTGTGAACAGGATGCTGGACTAGATGGGCCACTGGCCTGATCCAGCAGGCTCTTCTCATATTCTTATGTATAAGCTCAGTGGCAATGACAAGGGCCATGGGTTGATAGCCTTCCTTCAAATGGACAAAATACGTACCCCCTTCCCACCTCCCTTCCAAGTTGTTCTAATAAAATAGTGCAAGTCACAGTGAATTTTATGCAGAATAGAATTTTATTAGTTTATATTTCCAACCAATCCAGTTTTCTTTGGAGCGGGTGACCGAAGCGCCGTATTTTGCCGGAGTGAAATATTCTTGCAAGGGGGCTATTTTCACTCTTCCTTGTGAGGTTGTGAAAAAAAAAAACACACCCACCCAACAACCAGCTTCTCTGTATTATTAGAAAACATGCTCTTCTGCGGTGGAAGTCAGTTTTTATGGCTTTTTTAATCTTTAAAATCTTTTAAACGAATGAGTGTAAACTTCATTTTTATTGCCCTGGAGTGGAAGGAGCCAAAGTCATTATTTTCCTAGAAGTGACGGTGCCAGGACTCGTCGGCTGGAGACTTTACACTTGTGTTTCAAGGTGAATTAGGATGAAGGATAATTGAAAATTAATAGCATTTAAATGTGAGAAGAAGGCATCTGAAAGCAATGGAAAGGCCAATTTGCTGCTAGGCAGGAGAAAAATGACTTTTCACAGTTGCCCCTGTCGGCTTCGAGTGGTTCCCTGCTACCACCCCCTTTGAGCTGCCTCCCTGCGATGGCATTTGGCAGAGGTTGAACTCTCCCTCCTCCATCTCCCGCCCCCCCAAAACTTTCTTTTAATGCTGGGTGGAAGTGGCATTCGGCATCCACCTAATGTGTCAGACCCCAGGATTTTTGGGGCTGTGTCAACACTGACTCATGTCTATTTATACAGGGTAAATTATCGAGGTCTCCTTGCCAAGGCTTTACAAAGAGGATATTGCGGTGTAGGCCTGTCCCCCACCCAGAGGTGTTTTGGGGTTTTCTCTCTTGGATGGAGTGGCTCAGCTGCATGCGGAGAGATTGGTGTAGGAGGGAGCTGCCGAATCAGGAGTGGAAAATCTGCAGTGCGGGTGGTGTGCAGGGAGAGAGAAAATCTGATGCAAGTCTAGCAGCGGCAAGCCAGTCCACTGACTGGTCAGGTGGCATTGATTTTAGTTCTGCCTTCTTGTGTGTGGCTGAGGATTGGCGGCAGACCATCTGTTTTGTGTACAGAAGATCTTGGGTTCAATCCTTGGCATCTCCCGGTTGGGCTGGGAATGCCTCTGTCTGAAATGACCAGCCAGTATGGACCTTGGATGGGGGACCTGTAGCCCTCCAGACATTGTTGGACTCGCAGCCAGCAGAGCCCAATGGCCAAGGGTGATAGGAGCTGTAGTCCAGTAACATAGACAATACTATGCTATAAGGAGCAACGAACTGACTTGGTAGGCAGTTTCCTATGTTCAAGGGAAGAAGACCATAGCTTAGTGACTTAAACCTGGCCCAACTGTTTCCCTCTTGGAATCTCCCTTCTCTAGCTGATCTCAGCCTGATACAGCTCTTTAGCCAGGGAAACGGCCACCAGTGAATGCACGGTATCTCCCATGCTTCTGCCTAATCCCACAATTTAGGTGGCCATATTGGGTGCTTTTCGCTATCCATTTGAACAATGTTTGAAATGGACTTCTGATTATGGTTTGAAGCAGTGCCTGCTCCCATCTGACATGACATGGTTCTTGCGTTTTTAAGATGTGCTGGGGTGTTTGCAAGTGCATGGCTGCTAACTGGATGGCTGCTTCAATAATGGGAGTAGGATGTGTTCGTGGGAGTCACTCTGCATTTGCCCTTTGAACATGACAGCCAGCAGTTCACCTCGATAGTTTTGAGGCAAACTAATAATTTGTGATACACACAGTTTGCTTGGTTTTCAATTTGGAACATGTCATGGTTATTCTTATAAGTGAATATGCATTTGAAAGAATTGGCTAGATGAGGTTAACAGGGAATGTGCGAACACCCAGCGTGTTCCAGTGGCCAAACCATTTTCCCCTACTTTCTTTACAGTAATTGTAGATTTCAGTGGTTCTTGGAGTGGTCCATAACAATGGTGCTGCTGCTGCTGCTGCTGCTGCTGCTGATTTTATAGTGACAACAGTTAAAATAATGTCAGTTAAGACAACAGTGCTTTTAAAGTTACAGTGAGTAATTACAAAAACAAGGAAAACAGTAGCTTAAACAATAGAATGCTGTCAAAGCTCCATAGTTTGGTGAAACAGAAAAGGCATAGTGAATAAATATGCTTTGATTCTTCTTCTAAAGGAAGGGGAAGCAGTGTGCCAGCTTGACCCCAAGGGGAAAAGAATTTGACAGCTATGGGGCCACCACTGAAAAGGCAAAACTATTTGAACTAGGCCTGTGTAGTATGCCGTAATAAATGATCTGATTTTTTTAAATAAAAAAAATCTTTATACTATATGCTGGCAGAAATGAGAGCAAGAACTTTCCAGCAAGAGAAGAATGCTCTGGTGCTGCCTGGGTACAGGAGCTCGTATGTGTTCATGTGGTTTTCCTGCCCATTTGTTTTAGTGTGGGGAGCAGATTTGAAAATGGACCAGGCAAGAATCCCCAATGCACACTGGAGAGGATATGAGATTTCGGTTCAGGGCATTATTCTTATTGCTCTGGCATTTGGAATTTTCTTTAGCCAGGAAGGTCTAGGAGTGAAAAGGTCTATTCTCAGATTTGGTTGGGAGTTACAGATTGCAGCATTTTTGAATGGCCAGAAGCTCACTCCTATTCCAGCCAGCAGTGCCTGCGCATGGCTTCCTTGAGCAGTTGTCAGGGCCTGTTGCTATTGCTGCCTACCCTGGGTTGCCTTACCTGTTTTCCTTCCTGGTCTTACATTCCAGGAAGCACCAGGTGGCTGGATCTAGGCATCCTTTTGGTTTTCTGTGGTGTCTCTGATCTAGTGTAGCTCTGGAGCAGTGGTGAGGGAACCCTTCTCTTCAGTCCTAGGGCCACATTCCCTTCTAGGTCACCCTCTGGGGGCCATATGCTAGGAGTGGGCAGGGCCAGAGGCAAAAGGGGGTGGAGTAAGGAATGTAAATTTTACCTTTGTGCAGGCTAGATCCTACACACGCCCGCCTTCCACTGTCTAACCTCCATCGTCATCAGAGTTCAAGAACACATTCCAGCCAGGCAGAAAGGGGGCATGACTTGGAGAGAGGGCTGTAGCCTAAGATAAATGCTGTGTGTGTGTGTGTGTGTGTGTGTGTGTGTGTGTGTGTGTCTAATTTGGCCCCAGGCCTGAGGTTCCCTACCCCCTGCTCTGGGGCATTGTGAGAATTTAAAAGGGTGTCTAGACCCAGCCATGCAGTGCTTCACACAGGGCCCAGCGGCAGAAGAGAGCTCCCAGTGCCTTGCCATACTTGGCGCCAACCTTGCCAGGCAGTATAGATGCTTTAGGCACCACATGGAAATACACTAATAGCATCATTAGGGGACCAGTGCCATGTGACGAGCTGCTCACATGCATATCAGAGGTGATGTGAGGAGTTGTCCAAGAGACCCCTGATCCATGTAATCCAATGCTATTTGACTCCTGTGACCTTTTAATCTCCCGCCAGCATAGCGTGTGGCCTGCCGCTGAGCTATTGTCCCCTCTCATCTCAGTGCTTGTCCAAGGGGCCAGGACAAAAACATCTGTAGAGATGGGGAGAAAATGACCCAATTCATGTGGTGAGCCATGGTATGCCAAACAGCTTTCCATGGAGTAATTTCAGCCTCCGTGTGGTGGCCAGACCATTCCCCGGGAGCATTAGGAAGACTGCAATATAATCAAGAGTCTTATATGACAACTGGTGCTTAATTTTTTTTGTCGTTGGCAATTTATTGTCCACTTTTCATTCTTGTCCCCATGGTTGGTGAAAGGCTTTCGGTAAACGACATGCTGCAAGTTGCACAGAGGGATGCGAGCCAGACTTGTTCCTGTCTGTTATGCACGTATGTGTGCTATGTATATATAAATATAATCTCCCCTTGGGTTATTTTTATTAGAAAGGTGAATAATAAGCCTATTAAACAAAGGAGGAGGCAGACAAACAAATTGACAGGGAAACATGCCAGAAGTTCCTCTTTGTGTGCTGGACGCCCCCCACTTGCCACGCTGTGCCAGTTGACAGTTAAGAACAGGTGGGGCTTTTTGTGAAGGGAATGAATGAAAGTAAAGCCGTTTTTAATCATCCTTCACAATAAGGGCGGTGTGGTGTGTGTGTTTTTTTGAAGGATCCCAACAGGGCAGTTCAGAGGTGTGTCTTGGAAGAGTGACAGCACTGAGCCAAGGAATGCAGTGCTGTCAAGGGGGAATGGATTCCCCGTTGCGGAGGCCAGGCCTCCTGCGCGTTTGTGGCAGAGGTATGTTTTGCCCCCGACTTGCACTGACCTTCTTCCTTCTTTCCAACTCCCACCCAGACGGTGTACAGCTTGGCGGACGTGGCCTGCAAGTGCCACGGGGTGTCCGGATCGTGCAGCTTGAAGACCTGCTGGCTGCAGCTGGCTGACTTCCGCAAGGTTGGCGACGCCTTGAAGGAGAAATACGACAGCGCGGCAGCCATGAAGCTCAACCCCCGGGGCAAGCTGGTGCAAGTGAACAGCCGCTTTAACGCGCCCACCATCCACGACCTGGTGTACATAGACCCCAGCCCCGATTACTGTGTGCGCAATGAGAGCACCGGCTCCTTGGGCACCCAGGGGCGCCTCTGCAACAAGACTTCGGAAGGCATGGACGGCTGCGAACTCATGTGCTGCGGCCGGGGCTACGACCAGTTCAAGACGGTGCAGACGGAGCGCTGCCACTGCAAGTTCCACTGGTGCTGCTACGTGAAATGCAAGAAGTGCACAGAGATTGTGGACCAGTTTGTCTGCAAATAGATGGGGACGGGTGGGAAGAGCTCTTTTTCCGATCTACCAGCAGAGGGCAGTAGGGAGGGGGGAGGTTGCCCCAAGAAGGTCTCCACTCTTATTTATAGAGTCCAGCGGGTGCTTTCCTTGTTTAGAGATTTTTAAAAAAATCTTCTTCAGCAAGAAGTGATGGGAAAGCTTGCTGCATCCAGCTCAGACTGTGCATAGTTTTTTAAATATTTTGTTTTTGTTTTGCAATAACGGGTGGGAGAACCTGAGAGAATATTTATTTTACAGGATTTGGAATTAAGAAAAGAAAAGATAGAGTAGTTCAAAGGGAAATCCAACCCATCCCCATATAGCCTCGTGGGACATAGTACAAGTGCAGTAGATGAGGTATCCGCCTTACATGCTTTGGATCAGAGCATGACCCGTAATGGCTTGGTGACATACACATGTGTGCAAGGCATTTCTTCTGAGCTTTAGCAACCCAAAAGAAGCGAGACAGTCAGATACAGCATTGATCCGTATATCTGTAACCTGTAGCGGGAGCTCTCCTCAACGTGGCAACTTGAAGGTGTGGGTGGAAGCAGAATTTCCCAAAAGCCACAGTTGTGTTGCTAGGTAATATCTAAAGGCCCATTGGCGTGACATGGCGTTCCCCCATTTAGGCTTGGGAATTCTGTGCAAATGCATTGTGGGGAATGACGCTAACCAGTAGTAGCCAGTGGGGTGGGGCCTCCCGACACCAGTATTGCTCACATTTGCCTGGATGGCACTGGAGTAGGGTGGTAGTGAGTTCAAAGCTGTAACAACCTATATCGGGAGCGTGGCTCTGTAGCTCTGCCCGCCTGCAACAGCCATGATGGATGCCAGTTTTAGGGCAGGTCGACGTTGCAGTTCTCTCATCAGCACCGTCCCACAATGCACCATCTCGTGGGTCTCCATTAGAAGGAAGAGGTATTCTGAATGGGCAGAGGAAAAAGAACCAACCTACCGATTCCTTCAAACAGCTAGCAAACCAGGAGGAAGAATATCTGACTTTGACTGCACAGCGCAGATCAAAGCAGAATTTGGAACGTTGCCACGTCAAGTAAAACATGCCTATCTCACATTATGCACATTTAGAAAAGCCTTTCTGCCTTACTTTATAAGAATATTGAAGAGCTATCTGTGGGATTTCCTAAGCAGTGTATGTGCCGGTTTGACTGTGCTGAAACTGCAGCTGCATCGTGTGTGCAGTCTGCAAAGTCCTTAAAAACAACAATAATAAATTCAAAACTAATTCTTTCTTTTTAAAGTGTTGTGCGTAGTCAGTTCCCTTTTTAAAAAAATCAGTTGACTGATAGCATTGTGGAATTTGGGGAAATGCTGAGTTGATGAAACGCCGCGTGGTACTTCTTTTTCTAAAGTGCTGTTACAATTCAAAGTGCCGTGTGGCAGCAACGCCTAAGCTATCATCCTGTGTCTTTTTCATTTTAATGCACAATGCTTTAGAAATATATTGCAGCTGTGCACAAACTGCTCAAACTGTACTTGAGCAATTATATATGAGAAAACTATGGTCTGCTGGTGTCTGGTATCTCAAACCTTTTTTTAAAAAATACAATCATATTATCAGGACAAAGTAGAAACTTATGATTTCTTTTTTTAAAAGAAAAAAGAAAAAAAACCAATAGCACAACAGTACAAAAGGCTTTCAATTTGCCAGGTCAGGTCAGTTTCTTTGTTTAGACTGAACTTGTTATTATCTGCTCCCCACCCCGGTCCACATTTAAAATAGCACACACTAACAAAGTTGGGTTTTTTTAAAACAAAAGTCAGGTAGGGTGTTTTTGTTTTTTGCAGGTTTTCACAACACATGGGTGTTGAAGGGAAAGTCAATCACAAATTAATCAACGCTTTTTCAAATTCCTCCCAGAACATAGTATCTTTCTGCTCAATTCAGTGAAAGCTCCTGTATACCCTCTACTGTTGGTTATGTTTGGGGACTGTACGTGCTTGGTGCGTGAGTTTGCAATGATTTGGAGCAGACTTCCACAACCTACTGCCCTCCAAATGTTTGGGATGGCAACTCCCATCAGCCCCAGGGCCATTGGGAGTTGAAATTCCAAGCTTTTAGACTGTTGGTGCCAACACAGAGCGCCAATGCTTAAAAGTTTGCACTGGTTACCCCTATGCAACTGAGCTGAGTTCAAGGCCATTTAACTACTTGGGCCCAAGATATCCAAAGGACCACCTCATATTGCATATCCCTGTTTGATCACTAGCTTATTAGTGGTCCCCTGTGGCTCAGGTGCTGAGATTGTGTCTACCAGGAGACATGCTTTCTAAGTTGTACGTCCAACTGTGGAGTTTCCTCCCAGCTGAGATCAGACCTGTTGACCTCCTGGTCCCTTGGTGAAGACTTTTTTGATCAGTTGCAATTGATTTTGAGATGCGTGCTGTATCGCTCTTGTACACGGCTTAGAAATGAGGGTTCTAAGCGGTATATAAATTGATAAATCTGGAGGGCACCAGGCTGGGGGAAGCTTGCTTAGAAGCGTTCTCTTTCTGCAACGCTGTCATTGCGGATCATGGAAATGAGAGACACAAATGCATCTTAACACAAACGGCCCATGTTAAATTTTTTTAAAAGGCAGTCTTAGCTCTTGCCTTTGCCACAACCCCAGTGCTGCCTTTTCATTCCTTGAAAGACCTCTGCTCTTCCCCTAAATCATCCTGTCCAATACATATAAGCAGATTGCAATGAATTCCAGGCTTCCATATTAGCATTACCATTTTAGAAGCTTTACTTTTTTGAAATTCTGTGAGCTGTCTCATTAATGCCATCAGGATTATCAGCTTTCCAAATGATGATTGCTCTTAATTTATTGTGCAAGGGTATATTTAACTTCCCTGGTTCCTGGTGTCTGCAAACCAATGTCAACTTAAAAATAAAATGAAATAAAGCACTAGTTCACTGAATATGTCACTTTTGGTTTTTATTATACAAAAACCATAATCCTTTTTCTAAAAAAATATGTTGAATCACTTATTCTTTATAGCGACTCCTGTCTGTGAGAGCAGACAGGAATCTAATGATCCTAGCTATTAAAATGCTATTTAATGTAAAATATTTCACTTGTGTTCTTCAGATATTATGTAAATCTACTATGTCCTCTTCTTTGTTCTGTACATTTAATGTACATATTTTCGTCTCGTGTGATTTGTATATTTCACTGGTTTTTTAAAAAAGGCTTATGCCGTAACGGAAAATAGACTATAAAAATAAAATGTTGGTTATATATTGGGAGGTGGCTTTAATTCTTTTGGAAAGAGGGTTTTTATTTCAACAAGGAGCAAAGCTGCTTTAAAGAAATACTTTGTGGTAAGATAGGCAAATGACAAACAAACTGAATTTTAGAAAATGTGTAAGAAGGGTGTGGGGAACTAAAACTCCCATCAGCCCTAGAAAGCGTGGCCAGTGGCAAGGGGGAATGGGAGTTGTAGTTCCACAACATCTGGTGAGTCAAAGGTTACTTGCTACGATACAATATAAATGCTTTAAAGTACAACCTTATATTTATCTAGGTAGAAGTAAGCTCCATTGAGTTCATTGGGGCCTAATCTCAGGTTCATTGATACAGCAAGTAAGAATGGAGACTTGGTAGAACCTTGAGGCCACTGCTAAATTCCACAAGCAGAATGAGAATCCTGAGGACTTTCAGTAGACCGTTTTTCCCTGATCTAGCTTGCACTATCTAGGTGGATGAGAAACCATATGCACAAATGAATCTTGCCTATTCAGTTCCCCTCCCTCAGCCAACAGCCAGTGGATCCTTTTTTGGAAAGTTAAAACGGGACTGATCGGCTGTTCAGAAGGCAGAGCTGGATTCATCTCCCTTTTCTCTACCCAAACAGCTAGTTGTTGAAGCATTTTTTTACACCCAGGCTCAACTGCTTTGTGCATGCTGTGCTGGACTTTACTTCAATTCTGATTTTACTTCAATTCTGCCTTATAAACAGGAAAAGCGAGAGATCTCTCCTTAGGATAAGACTAAATACCTGAAGGAGTGTCTCCACCCCCATCGTTCAGCCCAGACACTGAGATCCAGCACCGAGGGCCTTCTGGCAGTTCCCTCACTGCAAGAAGTGAGGTTACAGGGAACCAGACAGAGGGCCTTCTCGGTAGTGGCGCCCGCTCTGTGGAACACCCTCCCTTCAGATGTGAAGGAAATAAGCAGATATCCTATCTTTAAAAGACATCTGAAGGCAGCCCTGTTCAGGGAAGTTTTTAATATTGAATGCTGTACTGTTTTTAACATTTGAGTGGGAGCTGCCCAGAGTGGCTGGGGAAATAATAAATTATTATTATTATTATTATTATTATTATTATTATTATTATTATTAATTACAGAAAGGATTTGGGACATTGGGATGTTGCTGTTGAATGCCAACAAGTCTACCAATGCTCATGCCGTTGAAAGCTGTTGAGAGATTACATTCTTATGTAAAGGAGTCTGCTACTGATGGTCCAGTCAAGTTGCCAGATCTTTGATAGCAGTTAAGAGGCTGTAACTAAGACTGGCAAAGCTGGAGGTGATGGCTCCATCAAGGCAGCAGCAGAAGGCACAAACATGTCCTTGGCCGTTTCTGTGTGTATGTGGTATCTGGAGTAGGCCTGGAGGGATGTGTTTGCTCCTGCAGTGACAGCATTGATTTCAGAGGGTAGGAAGCAGTAGCAGCCTGTGTGGTGGGACAAAGCGGTGAAGCCACCCAACACTGCCGTCTCTTAGCTTACCTGAAAGGGGCTGGGTGGTGGCACAAGGTCATGGCTTCTTGAGTGCACCATCTGGATTTGCTGTTCAGATGCGTCCATGCAGCTCTGTCTTGCCATCACCCCATTGGAGGCCTGTCCAGGTAAGCTGCAATAACACCAGTGCCAGGATAGTGGCTCACCACATGGGCCACTGCTGTGACGAACCAACAAGGAGCTTGGCTAGAAGACCTGTGGAGGTTGGGCTCCACAATTCTATAAGATGCCTTTCTAGTTTTCACGAGCTCTTTCCTTCTTTGCATCCATGCTTTGTATTCACGTTTGCCAAAGCTTTGGGGGGTGGGTGGGCGTTAATAAAACAACCCTAAATGGTTTTAATCTCTTGCACACGGCATTAACATTTTAGTAACTCAGGGTGGTGAATTCAGAGATCTTGTATGAATCAGTCATTCGAAAGGATAACTCACACAGCTGAGGATGACTTGCACAGAGGAGCATTTGAACCTGCCTTTGTTTTCTGGAAATGGGGAGTTTGTGAGAAAGTTAAAGGAGCCTTAGTAGGAAAAAACCATGATGAATACCAGCAGCTGGACAAAAAAGGAAATTATATAGATAGATTTCAAGTTCACCAGGAGAAACTTGGTCTACTCCTCATTTGATTTCTTGAAATCTCTGCCACCTCAGCAAATCTTGATAGATTAGCTTTATTTTTTTCCAAAAAAAAAAAAAGGCTAGCCTAACGTACTGAACCTCTCTTTGGGTGCCAAGAATGTGTTACACCACAAAAACAGAAGATCAACATGTAGCGTGCTTTAAAATAGCACTTCTGGGTAAATGCAATTTCTGTGGTCCGATTACTCACATCTGGTTCCATTTTTCTTCACTTGTATATTGACCAGCGTTCTTTATTGCGAAAGCACCGACCTCCAGTTCTCTCGGTCAGCATTTCTGGGGGACTGGAGTGTGTTCAAATTCTTTCTAATAACAGGGAAATTAACAAATTTATATCTTGGAAGCAGCAGCAGCATAGTTGTGCTACGGACAGAACAGAGATGATTTTAGATTTCAACCAAGTTTATCCGTTTTGGTTCTTTGTAGCTTTCCTACCTTGACAGTAGGTCTAAAATATTTGGAATATTTCTTTAAAACTGTAGCCTTGGAGCAGCAACAACAAAATCTGTCTTGATGTCAGAGCAAGGGTTTTATATATAAAACAAACCGGCTATCAGATACACTCCCATCTAAAATTGTGCGGCATGAGAGTGAGTGCTAGAAATGGTGCAAACTTGGGATATGGTAGAAAAGTTAGCAAATGATTGCCTGCCCTGAACTATTTGGATGAAATGGACCGTAAATCCATTTCTTTTAATTAAAAAAAAGTCCAAATGGGAAGTTACAATGCAGAAGAACACTGCTAGATTTTGGGGAAAGATTACTGATTACAGTATGAGGTCATCATATAATATTGAGGCAAATAAAATTCTAATGCAGTGCATGCAATGTGAAGGTCTGGTAGGAAAAATCCAAAAGCAGCAGTAGGCTTTTTCAGAGTTCTTAAACAACATTTTTAAAAATTCACCTGTGTGCTTTTTCACAATAAAATCTTAGCTTTAATACAGAAATATTTCCCACATTTTAAAAATTCCTCTGGGCTGTTATTATTATTATTAATAATAATAATTTCTGAATTATTTTTTTAAAAAACTCAACCTGCAACTGGTACCCTTTCAAGCACTCCTTCAATTTTTGGCCACAATTGCCCTAATTTTTACAGAACATAAAATGTTTATTACTGATTCCTCCCCACCCCCACTACAGTGGTACCTCTGGTTACAAACTTAATTCGTTCTGGAGGTCCGTTCTTAACCTGAAATCGTTCTTAACCTGAGGTACCACTTTAGCTAATGGGGCCTCCCGCTGCCGCTGCACCGCCGGAGGAGCACAGTTTCTGTTCTCATCCTGAGGTAAAGTTCTTAACCTGAGGTACTACTTCCAGGTTAGTGGAGTCTGTAACCTGAAGTGTTTGTAACCCGAGGTACCACTGTATTCAGAAATGCTTATTAGCTTTGTTTTTAATTGGACATTTGATATCTATCAGAAAATAAGATACTATTAAAATATTTTCAATTTAAATTATAAAATGAAATAAACAACGTTTCTCCACTGTGATTTGCAGAATATTCATAAATGATATTTTCACAATAAACCCAAAGCAGTTCTAGTCATCTCTCTCAAAGGTATCCTCAAGATATCAGCCACAATTCTGAAATTTGTACCCAAAGTGGTGAGAGGTGGAGGTGATATGGCCTGTGTGCATCTGCCTGCCAGATCATGTTATCGTTGCTGCCTTACTATCCTAATTGCTTCCTTCGGCGTGAGCTTAGTATTAAAGAATCAAAGAACTGCAAGTTGGAAAGAGCTCCGGGGGTCATCTAGTCCAATCCGCTTCTTACCCTCCCGTTGCTGAAGATATCAAAGCTGACAACAGCGAACTCCTGGATGCATATAGTTCCAGGATCTCTAATGGGTGCCGTAGCTATATGTGCTGGATTAGGCCATTAGATGCCAGGAGTTACACATAGGCCACCTTTTCCCATGTTCAGTTTGCAATCTAGCAGGGCAGGCGCATGCACACCAGCTTCTGTGCACCCATGCCTCTTGCTAAATTGGTATAAATGTGAAAGTGGGCTACTTTCATCACTTCAATGTCTATTTGCTGACCTATGATTCACACTGTTGTTGTTTAGTCGTGTCCGACTCTTCGTGACCCCATGGGCCAGAGCATGCCAGGCACTCCTGTCTTCTACTGAATCCCGCAGTTTGGTCAAACTCATGTTGGTAGCTTCGAGAACACTGTCCAACCATCTCATCCTCTGTCGTCCCTTCTCCTTGTGCCATCCATCTTTCCCAACATTAGGGTCTTTTCCAGGGAGTCTTCTCTTCTCATGAAGTGGCCAAAGTATTCCTTCATGGATCACTGCTTTGTCGTGGTGAAGGGGCTTGAGATATAACTCAGAGAAGCTATGAGCTACGCCGTGCAGGGCCACCCAAGACGGACAGGTCATAGTGGAGAGTTTTGACTAAATGTGATCCACCTGGAGCAGGAACCAGCAAGCCACTCCAGTATCCCTGCCAAGAAAACTCCAGGCATGATTCACACTGGTGGCACCAACAAATTGGGGGGGGGGTTTGCACAAAAGGCTCAAAGTATATTTCTAGGTGGTTGAGTTGTGTCCCACATGTTAAGAACTCTGAAAGAAAAAGAACATTATATATTAATGGCAGGAGTCCAACTATGGGGGAAGCTCTGTGTTTGGGGGGCACCCTACCTCTCTGGTGCAACCCATGCTGATTCTGACACTTTAAAAAAACCCATGACGCAGGTTACTTCTGGAGAGAATAACACCATTTGCTTTGTTTTTTAAATGATCAATATTGGGTGCAGTGAGCCAGTGTTTGGGCTGTTCTGACACATCTTCCACAGCTGCCTTCTGAAGGATGTGGCAAGTCATCTGCTCAACCACAAGC